AACACACACACACACACACACACACACACACACACACACACACACACACACACACACACACACACACACACACACACACACACACGCACTCACACACACACACACATACACACACACATATATAAAACATTTATCAAAAAATATCACATCAGGAGCTCAATTAACGAAATTAGTCAAAAAAAAAAAATCATTGTACTAACGAAGTTTGATTAGTGAAACGAAATGATGAAATACAAAGCAAATACTCTGAATTTACGATCTACTCGAAGATTGCTGTAACAACCTAATGGTGCCCACTGACTAGCGACTATTTACAGTAACTGGCAGGTCTGCGCGAAACTTTAACAGCATTTACATCAACAGACACTTTACTTCGCCACAGACACGACAAAAATAGGTTAAGAACACAGCACAGAATATTAAAGGAGTAATTTGAACCCTAACAGCTACTACGTATAAACAGACTCGTAGCGGAGGTTCTAGTGGAAGCCGAGACTATGTAGGCCTAGATGTTAGACACGTGGAATTGACTTTTTGCGGGGGTCAGATTGGGGACGTTGGAATTAGAGGATTAATCGTGAAAGAGGAAGGTGAAGTAGGAGAGATGAGGAAAGGGAAGAAAAATGTATGTTAAAGGCTAAATAGGATTCGGGGTAATGACTCACGAGATGTTAGTAAGAGTCCCTAATGTTAGTGAGTAGTACTCGTCGTCTACACTGCTATGACTCAAAGAACTAATGATTTCAAAATAATTGTAGCATTCATTAAAACATGGAGAAGCAGAAATTATATGCAAAAATAATACGCGGCGCTTACATAACAAAAAGAAAAAGAAATGAGATAACTACAATCTAAAATTAATGCATATCTTATGATGGTTTTACTACGTCATGAATGGACCATCCAAATCTACGTTACATAAGCAGTGTAGACCTAAAGACAACGACAAAGACGGCTGCGGTGCGGGCTGTGTTGGACCACGTACCTTCCATTTCTCGAGGTCCTCTGGGGTGGGTTCCTCGGGGGAGTGGGAAACCTGCTTCTGGAACTCCGCCAGCCACTCGCTGAACGCCTTGTGAGAGTCGAAGAAGTCGTCCCAGGCCTGGAGGCACTTCTCCATTGTGCGCCGGGTGTCTGCGCTCATCTGCTGGAGGTTCTCCCACTCCATACGAAGAGTGTCGGCCTCGGTCTTCAATGTATCTTGACCGTCAGGGGAAGTCGAGGCCATGATGGATCTGTTCAGCGAAATAGCCTTGTCAATGAGCTCCTCTCCTTCAGGGAACTCTTCAGCAATGTCCTCTTGCTGCTGTTGCTTTTCAATGACTTCCTTCTTCTCACCATGGCTGTCGGCATATTGCTGCACAGTGATGCGGAGCTTCCTCAGCCAGTCATTGGCCTCAACTGTAGCCTGGTAGTAAGCCTCATGCTCTCTTACATATACCTCCAATGTCTTGATATTATCAATAACCAACTTCTTGATACTATCGTACTTAGTGATGCATTCTTCAACTTCTTCCTCTGAATATCCCTCATCATTCTTCTTAGCAGCCAGGCGTTCTACCATATCACAATGGGCAGCAATATCTCGCAACAAAATTCTGTATTTCTCAAGAGCAGCTCGCTTGTCACTCAGCTCACTGAACAGGACACCCTGTTCAGTAGCCTTTGAGTGGAGTTCTTCGAGCCATTCTACGACAGTCTCACGCATCTTATCTGTTTCTTCACGTCGTGATAACTTAGAGCTAAGGTTTTGCTGTAGGCTGTATATGTCGCCCATTAGCTTCTCAAAGTCCTTGCGTACACTCTCTGTATCTTCCTGTATAGTGGCTGCACCAGCCTGTTCTGTGTTTAGTATGACACGTTCCTTCAGCTCCAGCACATAGCGTAGCTTGTGCTGGCCTTGTTCCAGAGTGCTCTTAATAGACTTGACTGTGGCCAGCCTCTCTTTCAGTTCTTCCGTAGAGGTGGTCTCGCCAGCACACTCCTGAAGCTTCTTACGAGTGCGGTCAATCCAATCATTGCACTCGCTATAGAGCTGGTTGTGCTGCTGATGCTCCTGGAAGTGCATCTCCAGGCGGCGCATCACCTCCTTGGCAAGTGATAGCAATGTGTTATATTTTGTAGTCAATTGTGTGACGGCATTACTCACACGGGAATCAGCACAAGTCTCAAGCAGGAGCTGGGCTCGCATGTTCAAAAGATCCAGCGTCTTCTGCCAGTCAAAAATGCTCTGGAGGAGAGCCTGGAATTCTTCCAGGACTGATCTCTTCTCCATCACAGTGTTTTGAAGCTTGTTGTAAGTCTGTACTTTGCCGTCCATTTTGGCTAGCCATTCTTCACACTCTCGGAATTTATCTTCATATTCTGTCCATTTGACAATTCCCATTTCAAGAAGGTTCTTCGTCTTACCCACTTGACCCCTGAAAAAGAGATTAATAATCAGTATAAAAGATGCATCACAACAGCTCCATTAACATTCCAATTACATCTGTTACACAAATATGAGTCTAGTCAAACACAAAATACTTACAGGAAAGTGTCAAATTCGTCTTGCAGGAATGCCACTTCTTCTTCTATAACTTCTTTGTCCTCATCATCAGCCAGGTTGCATGCCCTCTCAGCCAAGAGGAAGGCCTTGTCAAGTTTCTTTTGGCCTTCTTCTTGTTCGTTCTGTAGCATCTTGAGGATAGTTGCTTTACCACTGATGGTATCTTTGTCACCTGTTGGCTCTGCACACTTGGCCATCCTCTCCTTGGCAGCCCTGAGCCAATGCATGAACTCGTTACCTGCATCTACAAACTCCTGGTGGTGGTCTACCATGTCCTTCTGCTTCTCAAGAAGTTCCTTGGCTTGCTTACTCAAGCTCTGGTACTTACTTGAGATCTCTGAGGCATTGCTCTTTACCTGGCTGGCTTGGCTTTCTGTTGCCTTTGAGGTAACAGATTCAATCATTGGTTCAAAGGAAACAATATCCTGAACAATGCTGCTTGTACGGCGAAGGTTAGCCTTGCGCTCTCCAATGCTTAGAGTAGATATCCTGTGTGACAAGCCTGAGCTCCTCTTGGAAGAAGAGGCCATGGCAGTTGTGAGCTGTTGGAGTTTGGCTTCTCTCTCACTGATCCATTGCTGCATATTACTGTAAGAGGCACTCATGTCAGCCCATTGGAGGAGATTAGTCTCCAGTGTTACTTTAGCACTTGACAACTTCTTGATCAGTTTGTCCCAGTCATTTTGAAGCTCCTCTAATGAGTCATTAATAGTATCACGCCCATCTGAGCGTGTATTGCGAAGAACTTTTTCACCCCAGTTGACAGTCTGGTGAACAAGGGCTTGACCTTCCTCCTGCTTCCTCATCAATGACTGGATCATCTCGAGGTGTCGCTCAAGGCTTTCCTTGCCCGAGTCAGGAGACATATCGACACAGTCCCGCACAACCATGCGAGCATTGTCAATCCATTCTCTTGCCTTACTCATGTAGGTCTCATACTGGCGATGCTGGTCAAAGCTAGATTCTACCTTCCTAAGTACATCCTTTGCCATGTTAATAAGGACCTGGTAACGGGAATTGAGGTGCCGCATCTGGTTTTGCACGAAAGAATCTAGGTGTGTTTCCTGGAGTGTTTGGGAGAGCTCATTTAGTTTCTTCAGTTGAACTTGTTGTTTTCCAAGACTTTCAAGTAGGTCCTGTAGAAAAAGATAAAAAGAGATGAATAAACATATTTTTACAGTATTACATTAGATAAATACAACCACATTCATGTAAAAATAGGAGATAATAAAACAAATATATACTCTTACCTTGACATTATTGACCTGCTGTGTCTTCTCCCCAATACTGGCATACAGCATCGTCTTGTAAGCCTTCATATCGGCATCGGCCTTCTGTAGCCAGTCGGAAAGCTTTTCATATTCGTCTTTGTAGTCACGCCATTGTACAACTGTCTTCTGGAGGTTCTCCTTTTGCTTGGAAATGTCCTGGAAAAGACTCTCGAAGCTTTCCTTCACGGCCCTCATCTCGTTCCTGTAGTGCTCCTGGCCTGACTGAGAGGTGGAGTGGAGGAGCACCTCACCACGGTGGAGGAGTTGGTCCACCAGTATTTGACCTTGAGCCTGTCTAGTGAGCAGGGTATCTAGAGCCTGTACTGCTGTCTCAATGGACAACCTATCACCAAGATTCCTCTGCTTGAGTGCTGGAATCTTGTCTCTTGTCCTGTTGACGAAAGCATGGAGATCGTCATAGGCTTCTTTGTAGTGGCGGTGGTCACGGTACTGAGTTTCTCGTTCGCCACGCAAGGTCTTGATGCGCTCTGAGAGATTTTCAAATTGCTTGAGGATGCCCTGAGCCTGTGAGGCTGCCTGTGCCTGCTGTCCACTGGCAATCATCTCAGAAGCCTTTGCCTTGAGGCTCTCCACCTCATACTTCTCGCATCGCAGTTTTTCCTCTAGACTCTGAAAACAGATATGAAATAACATTAGTACAATTATTGTAACAATACATGATCATCCAATATTATGCAAAGCAAATATGAAATGTAATTAATATATATATTTCTTTATGGTGAAACAGTAAATGTTAAACTTACTTTCAGTCTCTCCAGCTGAGCTCTCTTTTCTGATAATGTTGCCTGGAATTGGCTAACGTCGGAGAGTGTGTGCTCAACATGCTCGATGGTCTTGTTCAGCTGATGGATGTTTTCCAGGAAGCCTGCCCATCGGTGAAGTGTCTCATCCAAATAGGTCTTAGTTTCTACCATCTTGGAGGCAAGAGCACTCCAGCTTTGTTGCAATTCCTCAACTGCCTGATTGATCTGGTCATGACCTGCAGGAGCTGTATTGGCCAGCACGGTCTGTGCCAGCTCAACAGTGCCTTGCACCTTGGAGAATCCTTCCTCCTTGTAGAGTAACAAATCCTGAATCGTTTCCATCTTTTTGTCCAAGTCATCTTGTGATGTGGCCGACAGGTCTGAGCAATAGCTAAGCTTCCTCTTGATGTCTCCAAG